TTCGTGAACCAGCATGATCGGACCATGGGAACGGGGGTTTATGGGGGCTTTTATGGGGTAAAAATGGGGTTTTCCCATTTTTGACCCAAAAAACTTAAGTTTTTGCAATTTCTTTCCAAACTATTTTGTAGAGCTTAAAAAAACAAATAATTTAGTATATTGAAGCGTTATAATGCGCCTAATGGTTACGGAGAAAATTCAAAAAAATTTTAAATTTAAAATTCCCATGTTATTCTTATGGAGGATAAGTAAACTGTTGTAGTTTGCTTATTTATTAACATATTTTGCCCAAATTTGGAAAATGTTTTTATTTCTTACTAACTATTAACATTTTACATAAAAAAACACTTTAACCCTCCCTGTTGCAGCAAACCTAAGTATGTGTTAAACTGATTCAATTTAAATAGGGAATAAATGTGATATTTTTAAGGAGACATTTTAATGTAAATCCAATCAGGCAAATGGAAATTCGCTTAGTCTGCAGGTTTGCTGCGGCGGGGGTATTTTATTTTAGGACAATTTCATAGCGTGCTTACACCTGTTTGTATTACCAGAAGTAAAGCAGTAGTTTTAATAGATTGTTCCATGTCATTTTACCGTAATAATTTGAAAGTTTGTAAATAAAAATAAAAATTTAACTCACTTAAGCGTTATCATGATTGATGGTTCTATCAGTGTGCAGTAGAACTTTGATTGTCCAACCTGAACCAGCTTCGGTGATCATCAAGCAAAGTTTTGTCATCAAATAAATTTGTTTTCTGTTGAACCACTATTTGTCTGCTTTGAAGCCACAACCATCTCATAGAATTTAAAAATAGCTGATAAAGTAAAAACACCACTACTGTAACTGTCAAAAAAAGACACAGCGATTCACTCATTCACTTAACCACTGCTATCTGTTCGTTTTTGTTTCTACTAGGACCCTGGGATTGTTTTTCTTTACTTCAGGCTAGTTTGCGACTAAGACTAAGTTGTAGAAGGGAGGTATGCAGGTATGAGAAGCTTAATGTGCCATGCCAAAACAGACAGTACAGGTGTGTAAATATTGGTGCATATCTTCTGAGTACAGATAGCACCTTAGAACTCAACAATTTGGGATTCATGCTCTCATCACACCTTAGCAAAACAATAAGAAAGATTTTTTCCTGTTGGGCGTGCCCCGTGGTTCCAATGCTTATCTTTTGTACTATTCATTAGTCTCTATAGCTGCGCGCGCACTACGGCGGCACGGCACGGACGGGCGGGCGGCACGGCAATTTTTTAAAGTTAATAACATTGAATGTAATATGAGTGCGCCCACTACGGCGGTACGGCCGGCAACGGACGTTCGGCAGCTTCCGCCGTTTGTTAAAAAGTCCGGGAGACAGAACTCCAGGACATTTCCGAGCTGACGTGACGCCCGTACCGCCCGTACCAACCGGGAGCACTGCACACCAAGCGGGCAGGCGGCACGGGACATCCGCCATTCTCAACTTACTTACTTACTTGAAATACTTGAAATACTTGAGGTCTTCATCCTTGACCGACAATGTCGGATAGATTGCGTCAACTCATATGAGTTTGTCAATAAAAAGCATATATTTACACTATTTACAATATATACATTATTTACATTTTACTGTGGCATGGCGGATATATTTTAGCTAGGATCTAAAGAGTGGTTCCTCAACGAGTTCACCCAGCGAATACAGTGGCCTATCCACTAGGGCTCCATGAACAACCTTTTTAAATTTCGGCAGTTCCAAATTTCGCACTCGAACTGGCAGAGTATTGAAAACCTTTATTGCAGAGCGGGGATAACTTTTTAGAGTGCGACTCAAGCGACAGCGTGGCATATCCAGGTCTTGTGCTCTTCTTGTGTTGTAGCTGTGCTGATATTCCCTTTTAGAATATTCTCCTTCACGTTCTTTAAGGAGGATAAGTATGTCATAAATGTATTGACTGTAGATGGTAAGTATCTGCTGATCTTTGAAAATAGGCCGGCAATGCTCAGTGTATTCCGAGGATGTTATAATTCTGAGTGCCTTTTTTTGGAGCAGCAGTACATCATGGGCTGCAGGAGCGTGTCCCCACAATACCAGTCCATACATTATATGGCTGTGGAAGAGGGAATGATACACAGTCTTTAAGTAAGGCTGCGTAATGATTGACCTAAGTTTCCTAAATAGGTACAAGACTCTGGAGAGCTTAACGCAGACTTTTTCAATATGGTAACTCCAGCTGCACTTAGAGTCAATCCAAAAACCAAGTAGCTTCACAGGTTCATCTTGATCTTCCTCCTCTCTAGTTTTGAGAGTGCATATCAGCGATTGCGTCTTGTCCTCATTTATCTTCAGTTTGTTAGAGATAAACCATTCCTTGGCTCGCGTCAGCAGTTGTTCGGACTCCGCTTTGAGTTCTGGCAGATCTCGGCCTCGAGAGAACAAGGTGGTATCATCTGCAAACAGCAGTGTGTGGCCGTTTAGCGACAAGTCATTGATCATGACTGTGAACAGTAATGGGCCAAGGACCGATCCCTGCGGCACTCCGTGCAGCAGTACACCAACTCTAGAGGAGGCCCCACTCAGTGATACAATCTGTTTCCGGTCTTCAAGGTAACCCGCCAGTGTTTTAAGTACCATCCCACTGATTCCATACTTGCTTAGTTTAGCCACTAGAATGTCATGCGAGACCACATCAAATGCCTTGCTGAGGTCACATAAGTCGAGTTGGACGGACTCACTGTTTTCGAATGCATCAGTTATTATCTCAGCAAGGTTTAAAAGGGCTGTGGTAGTTGATCTCCCGCTTCTAAAACCATGCTGGGCATTGTTAAGCAGGTCGTGGGTTTCGAGCCACTCGACAAGCTGTTTCTTCATTATGGTCTCAAATACTTTAGAGAAAATCGGTAAGATGGAGATAGGTCGGAAATTCGCCAAGATTTTTGGGTCCCCCTTCTTATAAATAGGTATGGTCCTAGCAGTTTTAAGGCTATCAGGAAATATACCCTTTGAGAGGCAGGCATTCACTAACTTGGTGAGAGGTACCACAATGGTGTCAATCACTGCCTTTAGTACAGAGCTAGACATCCCATGAATATCCTGGCTTTTTGAGTCTTTAAATCTTTTAACTATGTTTATAACTTCAGCAGGACTCACTTCTCTCCATGTTGCAAATTTGCGAGCTGGCGAACGGTCTATCATAGCCTCTGTAGGGTCAGTCGGCAAGACAGGTAAATCGGCAATTACACTCTCTGCCACTTGAACAAAATAGTCGTTCAGTTCATCAGGTGTTGCCTGTATCTTAGGCCCTGGGCTTGGCTTACGGTGTTCATTTACTATTTCCCAGGCTGCTTTGCACGTGTTATGGGACTTTCTGATTTGTTCAACATTACTTAGTTTTTTGGCTTCTTTTACACTAGCACTGTAATCTCTTTTTGCCCTACAGTATAGGGAGAAGAACCTTTCTTTCCTATCCACATCTATGGCAGCTTTGTAGTGATCATGAAACAGGAGCGTAAGGGCTCGCATTTTAGCAAGTTCTGGAGTGTACCATTCCTTAATACTAGGCCTACCTTTTTTAGGGACATTTCTCTGTCTAAGCTTTGTATTTGGCTTGAAGACTCTAACAGGAAAAACTTCGTCAAACTTATCTTTAAAAATACTAAAGAAGGCATGGAACGCTCCCTCTGGATCAGAGTGAAGGTTTGGAAAATCCCAGCCAGTATGTTCCAGCTCACCATAAAACAAATGGAAATCATCCTTACTAACTAGTCTCTTTTCTATTACATAACTAGCTAACCAATCATGTTGTTCACTCACCCTTTCAGTTGTCAGCCTCAATACCACTGCATCATGGTCAGCCACAAGTGAGTTTTTTACTTCCACCTCACAGTCCCATGAGTCGATGTTGGTAGCAGCGGCATCCAAGCAGGCCTCGCCACGGGTAGGGAGTCTTGAGGTTATATATAGACCATGGCTACGTAGAAGATTAGCAAAAGTGGCCTCCTCTCTCGATGGACGCTCCAGATGGATGTTGAAGTCCCCGCAGATTACTATTTTACCAGCCTCAAATCTAAGAAGGTATTGTAGACAATTATCCAATTGTTGAAAAAAAGTTTCCAGATCACCGTCAGGGGAACGGTAAACTGCCACAATAATAGTTGATATTTCAAGTACCTCCACAGCAGCAAGTTCAAGTGAAAGCTCAACACAAAAGATGTCCAAATTTATTTGTTTACAATTATATTTCGTTGATGCGAAGATGGCTACTCCACCGTTTTTATGTACATTTCTACAGAATATGTTCACTATGTGAAGGCCAGACAAGGATTTATAGAAGTTCCATTCATCCGCAGAAAGCCAATGTTCCGAAACACACAAAAAATCACAATCAACCTCCTCTGTAAAAAGGGAAACTAGGTTAAATTTAGTTCTCAGGCATTGGACGTTAAGAACAACAATTTTGACTTCACAGTTGACTGATCTCTGTCAAAGTAGCAGTGTTTTCGTATGTTGTAAACATAGATGTTAGTAAGTTGATTTTTCTCGTTGAGAATAACGTCCGACGTGACAATATATGGGCAGAAATTTGATCTATTATGAAACAATCAAGTAAGTTTTACACATAATCCTTCTACAAGATCAGGAAACAAGGTGTGGAACCCTCCAAAACTTAGTCTTTTCCTGTTTATGTGGTGTATCTAAAATCTTTGCTTGCACCTTCTTGTCTCCTCTTCCTCTGCTAAAATTAAACATACTATCACCACTTTATCTACATCCATCTTTACTCACAATTTTTAGCTCGCAGACTGTCAACTGTCCTAAATTGCGGATGTCCCGTCCCGTCCGTCCGTGCCGTGCCGCCCTAGTGCGCGCACCCCCTCTTAAAAATGCCGTCCGTGCCGTGCCGCCGTAGTGCGCGCGTAGCTTATACCGAACTATAATTTCAATTACAGTATTTGGTATTGTATTATATATGGGTGATTTCCAGCCAGTAAAATTATTGTGTTTGTTTGACAGGCCAGGACAACCCTCTCTCCCCTGCTGTTGAGCTCAACTCTCTATTGACCAGGCTAGAGAACGTCACATCACGGCTAGAGAAGACTGTTGACTCACCTAAGACACTCACTCACTCCAATTCTGCCACTCGTGAGTGTTATCTTTCATACATGTGAAACACTCGTCATTACCCCCTGAATTGGTTTTTATAATGGTTGGAACCAGAAGAAATAAAAGCTGAACAGATATGTTTTTACCTGCATCGTTAGTAGATAAACTAATCCAAACAAAAGTTTAAAATACCTGGAATTGTTTAGTGTCAAATGTTCCTTATTTTAGTGCTGTGTTTTCTTCTTTTTTCAGGTGATATACTAGCTTGTACTAGGTTGGTAAAAGTTATTTGTTCATCACAACAAAATTCATTGCTAATTTTTGTGAAAGTATGCTAGGCTACTATAAAATTGATACAACATTAAAAAAAATATTTTAACTTTTATGGAGTTAACTTCCTATTTAGCATATTATTAAAATATGGGAAAGAATCACAAAACAGAGATTACACTAAAGATCAAATAAAATAAGTAGACAGTATGCAGACAAAAACTCTTAGTGAAAAAATCTTTAGTGAATAAATACATGGGAAGATTTTAGGAAGAAAAAAACATCTAGGAACGAATATGATAGTTGATTGTGTTTGGCAGTTTTCATAAGTGAAAAAGTAATAAAAGAAATTGATTATAAATCAATCAGTTAACATACAAAAATAAACAATGCTATTTAAATTAATAAAATGTTGGTACTCCAGCCCCTTCTTCAAATTCTCTAAGGGTCCTCCACTTCTTTCTTATTCTCCTTAGACACATGATGGCCCTTAATGTCGCCCAGGTGGTTTTTACCCTTATCCAGCTCATCACCACACTGTAAGGTTTTTTCCATTTTTCTGTTAGTCGTTCTGCCATTGCCCTGAGCAAAGTCTGGGACTCCTTGCCTAGAATTCCGTCTATAGAAGTGACTAGTGGGGTGAAAGAAGCGTTTCTTGATTCTGTTAGTGTCAAGTATTTTCTTTTCTTCTCTCTTTTAGCATTCTCCAATACTTTTTCATATGGGAGGTAAAAGTACGATGGAGCATCAGTGTCAACGACACGTACATCAAATAATGCCTCCAACTGAACCTCCCATACACCCCGACAAGCCAAGTCTGCTTTCAGTGCTGCAGCATCTAATGACCCTTACTCAGAGATCATTGGTTCTTGAACACAGCTTCCTCCATTTAATTGTATTTAATTGTAAAAGTTAATAATAATTGACTAATAATTGAAACCAGTTAAATTAAATATTTTTTTAGGTAATATTATAATAGGAATTTCAGTTTTCCTAATTTATTCGTTTACTGCCCACGGTTGGTGATCAATTTAATTACAGCCCAAATTGAATAACAAAACTGCAGCGTGTGTGCTATCATGTGCCGCCACTGGCTAGTTAGTCTCAGTGACTGGGCAAGGGCAGTGTGTTCTAACTGTAGTCTGTCTGTGAGAGGTCTTGTGGGTAGTTCTCTCAAAAATGTTCAACTTCTGTGTCGCTCTTTTTCCTGGTAATTATAAACATTACTTTGTTATAACTTGAGAATGATCAATATTGTTGTAAGTGGAGGGCTGGATGGGTAATTTATGAAACCACTTATTCTTTTTATTTCCTCGCCAGGTTTTGATTTGTCAGAACTACCTCTCATCCTTCGCTCCATTTTATTAGGACGCCTTTAGCTTTTGTCTCTGGTTTGACTTCCTATTTTTCAATTTGTATCTTAATTTATTTAAATGTTAGTGAATTTCCCATAAGTAACAGGGAATAACCTATTACTCATGATGGTAAGACCTAGACCCAGTACCGATTTACTTTTTTTGTTTTGGTGTCCTCAGAGGCTAAAAACACCATCCGCTCAAATTCATATATGTGTGACCATTACCACAATAACTTAAGAAAAATTATCCGATTTTGATGAAATTCGGTAAAATCGTGTAAACCTAAGTTCATTCGAATGAGTTCGCGAACCAGTATGATCGTACTATAGGAACGGGGTTTTATGGGGGTGTATGGGGTAAAAATTGGGTTTTCTCAATTTGTGACCCTTTAAACATAGAATTTCCATATTTCTCTTAGAGTTAAACCTTTGACTATTAATACAACAACAATAGTCAATGGTTAAACATTTCTTTTGTTTTCACTTTTTTTTGTGATATTGTATGGTTATTGTTACAAAAAAAATGTTAAAAATTGTTATCTTAAAATGACCACTTTATCATTATGGAGAATATTAAACTGTTCTAATTTACTTGCTTATGGAAAAAGTTTGAATAAACTTGGAAAATTAATTTATTTTTTACTAGCTATTAACATTTTACTAAAAAACACACTTTATTACCTTTCCTGTAGCAGCAAACCTGTACTCGTTAAACCTAATGTTATTGAAATAGGGAATTAATATGAGATGTTTAAAAAAATATTTAAGGGAAATTTAATCAGGCAAAGGTTAGTCTGCAGGTTTTCTGCAGCGGGGGTATTTTATATTATGTACCCATCCTTCACCATTAACTAGTTGTCAGATTGTAAGCTGTGCACGTATCATATTTTTACCTGTGTTAGCTACAATAAATTCCTGATTTTGAGTATTATTTAATATTATTTAGCCTACATACACAGATTAATTTTAGAATCAACATTAACTCAAATTAGGGGTTTCCTTTCTAATATTAAATTTATAAAGGTGTTTGTCTTTTTTTAATTTCTAGTAGATGTAGGTAATAGCATCGAACAAATTTTAAATACTTTGTATATTGCCTAACAATGGTTTACAAGAACTCTTCCCCCGATCACAGATCAACAGTCTATCCGGGGGAATAATTCCATGTAATATATTGTTCTATTATTGTACTGTTTAATTTTTGGAATAAAAGTATTTTGATTTGATTTGATTTGAACTGTACTAGTTTACTCTTTGTCCCTCTGCTATTTGCACCCATTAATGGAGTTATCTCTAAACAGCCACACCAGAAAAACTCTTTAAAAAACTGATTTAAAAATAAAAAACTGTTTTAAAAATAAAAGTATAGTACTGTCAGACCCTTTTTGATATTTAGGCCTAAGAAAATATTGTTTCTGTATAATTATCTAGCTACTTCTCCACAGTTCTGACAAGAGCATAAATCTGTCAAACACAAGTTTAGGTATGCAGAGGATGTGAAAGATTAAATGTTCATGGTATGAACTGACATGTGTATGACGTGTAAATCATCAGCTTTGATAAGCCAGCCAGAATGTAACTGATGTCAATAGGTTTCATATCAAATGTCAAGTAAATTTGTTTCTTAAACATATCTTGTGATAAAATGAATCGTTTGCTGCTGCTTTGGACACGTAACTTACCTTTAAAGTAAATATAATGAACAAAACAAAAAATATTACTTTCCTAATATTTTTGATATAAGTCAAAATCAGGTACCCCTTAAGAGAATTTCTTTAATATAAAAACCAAATGATGGTTTAAAATTCTTACTGCAGTTTTAAACACTAATTGTAATGAATGATTTGGAATATTTATATTTATTTTTCACTGGATTTTAAAATTTTATTACCAGCTTTGCTTACTAGTAATTGTTATGTCTTGCACTTTGGTTAACGGGATTTCTGTTCTTACAAGTATTTATTCTCTCAACATTTTATAAATTATTTTATACTTTTTAGTGCGTTTAAAAACGTGTTATTTTTAAAAAGTATTTTTATTTATAAATTATTTCAAATAAAATCTAAATACCCATCAACATATTTGGAACAAAGAAAATATATAACAAGTGTCACTGTACTTTTAAGTAGTTGATCATTTCCAATAAAAAGGGTTGCCATCCAGGAACTGTGGTTGGGTGAGTTTATTTGTCACAGTCTACATCGTCCTTTCATTAAAGTCACATTGACATTTCGTGACAATAAAGATCCTCAACTAATTTAACATTCAAGAGAAAATTTTGATAAGAATGATGTATCAGAGTCTTTAGTTGTTGCAGTACATCCTTATTCAACAATAATGTTCCATTGGAATACAAATTTAGCGTAGCTGGTCCATGTAGATAACAACATCTATAGCCAAAAGTCAATGCTGAATCACGAGATTAATAGGTACACAAATACAGGCACAGCAGGAAAATCACCTTCCAATACAAAAAATAGCCCTCAAAGAAATGAAATAGTAGAGCTAATGAGGAATTTGCTTTGTTTGTTGCAGAAGTGAACTTGTCGCCACCTCTCCGCTCCAGTATGAGCTCTCAGGCTTACCAGGACATCATCTCTGGCCCTCTGTCATCCTACCTCTCACTGTCCAGCAAGATAGGAGCTGAAGTTGCTGCCCAGGCCAAGCTAGTCAGCGATGCTTTCCAGTCAGTAGTCATTTATATAACTAAATCATAATAAGTAAAGCTTGCTGCAAAAGACAAAAACACTTTGGTGAACATACAAATGAAGAACTTTTTATTCTGTTTTAATAACAAAAATAATTTTCCTTGTTTAATTATACTTTGTTCAATTTCAAAAATGTTAATGGTAAAGAATTAAAATAAATAGAGACTATGAATAATATCTTAGGATTTTTAAAGGATATTGAGTCACATACACTTGTTTTGTGAAGTAGTGAGCTGAACAATCTTATCTTTACACATAGAATTTCTTCTTCCTCCTCCAACTCAAATTGTTCATTTTTGTCTAGAAAGATGAATACTATAGTTATTTTTATATGTGATATAAGAGAATATACTTCAATACATCAGAGTCCTGCAAACTTGGCACTCGATAACCAAGTAGTTTGGATTTCTCGTCGAACCCTGTAAAGAATAGAAACTAAACCAATGCTCTTAGCAAAATTGCACACAATTCTGGTGGTAAACTAGTTGTGTAAACTAGAATTGTGTGCAATTTTGCAAAGAGCATTGGTTTAGTTTCTATTCTTTTCAGAGTTCGACGAGAAATCCAAACTACTTGGTTATCGAGTGCCAAGTTTGCAGGACTCTGATGTATTGAAGTATATTCTCTTATATCACATATAAAGGTAACTATACATTCAATAGTTACACAAAACATTGTCTTTGCCCTTCGGACCTGGTGCTACTTGCAGACATTAAGGTTAAGCCTTTGCTGTTGTCAGGACGCAGCTGCAGTACCTGAGGCTAGCCGAGGCCCGGACAGTGCCATCACAGTCTGAGCAGGCAGGTCTGCTGCAGCCCACGTCTGCAGTCATCACTGCCATTCAAGAGCTGCGGGAGAAGAACCGTACCTCACAATACTTCAACCATCTCAGCGCCATCAGTGAGAGCATCCCCGCACTGGGCTGGGTCACTGTGGTGAGAGACTGTAGCGATGCACTACATAGTCAGAAGCATTTGTGACTACTGTGTCACAGACTCCTTCAAACCAATATTTATAATATTAAAACACCTTGTTCCTTATTTAAAATAACTTATTCAAAGTAACTACATCATGTTTTAAGAGGAAAATGTACAAGGCTGCTTTAAAAAAAAAAAAAAAAAAAAAAAAAAAAAAAAACTACAACTAATTAATTACAGGTTTGGAGACTGTTTTATAAGCTTCACACTCTCGTACAAGTGTGGTATTTCCAAAACCTTGAAACGGTGTCAAGGGTCCTGAAATTGGTTATACAATTTTGATCTAGGAGTGTCACAATTAGTCATGTAACTTTTGGTGGGTTAAGCCAGACAAGTCATTAGCGTTAAATGATTTAAAATTTGCTTGCGTAAAAGTTCTATCAAATTCTAATACAAAACCCAACTTATTATAGAAGACTTAAGTATAAATAAGCACAATAGATCATTGACTGGGTCTTTTTAGTTGTGTTTTATTCTTCATTTTTACTTACTCTATTTTTTTGCTAGATACATATAATAAGGTACTAAAACATTACCTGGGTGTTTTCTGTGCTTGCTTGTATCTGTTCTCTTTGAGTTTATTCAAGTCAAACACAATCTGTTATCAATCTTAATTGCATCTGTTTCAGAGTCCTGCCCCAGCACCATACATCAAGGAGATGAATGATGCTGGACAGTTCTACACCAACAGAGTCCTCAAGGATTGGAAACAAAAGTGAGTTCAGCACCATCAGTTGTGTGTGTTCAATTAGATTGATGATGTCATCAAAATGTTCTTCAAAACCCCTGTACCAGTATATAACAAAAGTTAAAAAATGTATTGTTATTTATTGATACCTTTAAAAAAACTTGGCACTAAAACACACAGAATATAAAAAAATCAGTCTCAAATGGTGCTACGTACTAGCAATGAATACAAACCCTTTAAGAAGCCACTTATGTATATAGAAACCCTTTAAGTCGCTTATGTATATGACACTATTGTATTTCTTAAAGAAATCTCAATAAAGAAAATTGATCGATTGATTGAAGCTAAATGCTTATGAAGAATATTCAGACTGGAATTTTGCCTCCAAAATGAACTTCGTGCGGCTGCCGCTACGATCACTCGCGTGGCGGCCTCATTACCATATAGACTAAGCAACACATGTAAAGCTAGCAGCTTGGATAAATGCCCTGCTCAAGAGCAGGGTTGTGACGGCAGAATTGGGAGGCTACTCGACAGCTATCATTGCTCGACAGGGTTGCCCTCAAGGAGGGGTTATCTCACCCCTGCTGTGGGCTCTTGTGGTGGATGATCTACTGAGAGAGGCTGATAGGAGAGACATAGACCTCCAAGCCTTTGCAGACGACCTAGTGCTGACTGTTAGAGGCAAACACGCAGCCACAGTGAACAACCTCACCCAGACAGCCGTTAGCTTCATTGAGTGGTGGTGCTCCAAAGAGGGGCTCACAATTAACCCTGACAAAACAGAGATAATCTCCTTTACGAGAAGGAGAACTAACCTAACAGCCCCAAAAATTCAGGGGAAAAGTGTAAAACTTGTGAAGGAAACAAAATACCTTGGAGTTTACCTCGACCAGAAACTGACCTGGAGCAGGCACTTTGACTATGTACTCGCAAAAGGTACAGGTGCTTTTGGTGCTTGCAGAAGAACCTTTGGCAAGAAATGGGGACTCAGTCCCAAACTCACACATTGGACCTATGAAGCCATAGTTAAACCAATGGTTACATATGCAGCCTTAGTATGGTGGCCTAAGGCAGAGCAGACAGCAGCTGGCAGGAAACTGCAGCAGCTGCAAAGGCTAGCGTGCTCGGGGATCTGTGGGACCATGAAATCCTGTCCCACAGCTGCAATGGAGGCAATACTCGACATGCTCCCACTAGGGCTGGAAGTTAAGAAATGTGCAGCCATATCTGCACTAAAAATGGGCAGCAGAGGCGAGCTGAATCTACAGAGGCAGTCTGGCCACCTGTCCATCCTGAGGGGATTCCCAAGCATGGACATGGAACTAGGCACACCAGACCTCATGACAAAGGAATACGACTTCGAGATTCCTTACCAAGTTGCAATAGGGGGAAGAGACAACTGGCAACAGTGCAACTTCAGCAATGACAGAGCATGCTTGGTCTATTACACCGATGGAAGTCGGAAGGATGAGAGATCAGGGCTGGGAGTGTATGGTAACAAAACCAAAATATCTCTGGCCTTGGGCAGAATAACAACAGTTTTTCAATCAGAGGTCCTGGCGATTGAGTGCTGTGCTAATAATATTATTAGCAAGAATCTAAGAAAGGGTAAAATCCTTATTCTCTCTGACAGCCAGACAGCATTGAAGGCGCTGGGGTCATGTGTGACACAGTCACGAACAGTAAAAGGGTGTAAAAACACCCTCAAAAAGTTAGCAGAGCGAAACCAAGTCAAATTGTCTTGGGTTCCTGGACATTCGGGGCATGAGGGGAACGAAAAAGCCGATGCATTGGCCAGGAAGGGTGCGGAAGACCAACTGTCAGGACCAGAACCCTACTGTGGTACCCCCATAAGCTCAGGAGTAGCCAAAGTCCAAGACTGGGTCAAGGTTCAAAAGGCTCTGGCCTGGATGAACCACCCAGGTATGAGGATGTCCAAATTACTAATCGACCCCACTGATAAAGGTTGGAAAGACTTGCTGAGCCTTAAGAAAGGGGACATTAGTCTGCTAGTAGGAGTGTTAACAGGGCACGGTCCTATCAGGAAACATCTCAGGACCATAGGGAGGTCACAGACAGACCTCTGCAGGTTCTGTGAGAACGAGGTAGAAACCTCAGAACACTTATGGCTGGACTGTCCAGCGTTGGCCCAAAGAAGGCTTATATCTCTGGGGAGGTTATTCCTGGAACCAACAGAGATAAGGAAGCTGGGTGTCTTTCAGCTCCTGGGCTACTTGAAGAGCCTAGGGCTGTCAGAATTAATTAAAGGGTGCTACAAAAGGTCTCCAGGCCGAAGTAGCTAGAGGTATGCCACTACCCCAGCCCCCACAAAAAAAAAAAAAAAAAAAAAAAAAGCAACACATGTAGGCTTCCCATCCCATTGTAAATTTTTTTGAATCTTGTTTATTGTGACTAGTTCATGTACGTCGACACTGATCGCTAGTGTAGACGAAATTTTGTTTATATTATTTTAGGGTTATTTTCATGATTTGTGTTTGACTGTTTGGTTATATAACTAGGAGACACGTTATTGTTTATGATTAGACTGTTTTATTTGGCTAAACGAGGTTTTAAATGGCTGAAATAACAAGAAACAAATTGTAAACAAAACAAAACCTCTACAATGTGACGTACAGAACTAACAATAAAATTGGCTTCAGCTGTTCCATATTGATAAAGATGACAAATCTACTAAGGGAGTATGTTTTATCTATAGGACTACTCTATCTCTCTCTCTCTCTCTCTTTGAAGCTGATTCTTAGGCTCACTCTCTCTCACTTAGTCAACTGACTTGCCGCATGCTCGAAGTCTACCTTGCGGCCGTTGCGGGAACTATCCGAAATTCAAATATTCCCAGACTGAATTTTTAACCAAGGCATTGTGCTTCTTATAAGTTTTGTATTCATTGGTATTAGTGAATTATGAATTAAGGTGAGATCTTTACTCTGTTACTGACTAAGATCAGCTGAATCTTTAGCCAAGACGATTTTTCAAAAGCTCAATGATCAAGTAAAACTGGGCCCAGTTTCAAACCATCAAAAAGCTATCGACTTTTAAGAGGATTATTCCAGCAACCGTGCTCAGGTCTGAGACTTTTTTGGACGGGTAAAAGCGAGTTTTTAAAGACATTTCCAGTACTGTATTTTATTTTGTAATTTACAACATTATAGTTTTGATCAGTAGGAAAGTCGATTGTTGCAGGGACCAGACGCATGTGGACTGGGTGAAGGCGTGGGTGGAGACGTTGACAGAACTACAGGCATTCGTCAAGCGACATCACACGACGGGACTAGTGTGGTCCAAGACAGGCTCAGGTGCTGGAGTACCCCCTCCCCCACCCCCTGCTGGCCTACCTCCCCCACCCCCTCCCATAGACTGTCTCTCCCTTAGTGATGACGGGTCACAGGACCGGTCCGCTCTCTTTGCCGAGATTAACAGAGGCGAGGACATCACCAAAAGTAGGTTTCTTTTTTGTCTTCCGCATGCTTCTGCATTCGAGTTTCTTTGCATGGTGGATGGGTCTCTGCAAGAAATATGAGGATTTGAGTGGAATTCTGAACCAGAGGAGTGGGTATCTGTGTGTTTTGCTGTTGAGATCATCTCTAAATTTTTCTTTGATTAAGTCTACTGTAAACCAATAAAAATCCTTTGTGGCTGTTTAAAGGAAGGTCATCTTGCATGTCTCAAAATGAAAGGAGATATTTTCAATGTTTTTTACTTTTACTAAAACGTTAAACTTAGTGCTTACTTTGAAATTCAACTTCATATTCGGATATATTTTACAATCTCCATACAATTCATTAAATTGAAATTCTTCCCAAAATCGCACTGGTAGTCTCCTAAATCACCTGCACGCACAGATCTGTGCCTCCAAAACTTTGCGATTGCTGTATTTGTCTATTGTTGTCATTGACTAGACGAATGCTATTGAAACATTTATTCCCAGACAGAACGAGGGAAATAATCAGTACTCGTTGTGGATACTTTGTTGTTTAAAATCAGTTATTTAGCACATTTGAATAGCCTATAGCCAAAGCATGTTATCTTCAGATGTTTTTAAGACACATGTAGCACTGTCGGGTTTGCATTAACAAACTGTCAGATGCACATTTTGATTTAGAAAATGGCATTTGATGTTGCTGTCGTTAAAAGTTCAAGTTGCTTAACGTTTAGTGTGCATTTTTACTGTATGAACAAAAATTGTTTGCATAAAATAGCAATTTTTAAACCTCACAAGTTAAGTGATGTCCCTTGGTTATTGGTTTGTTAACACTGCAATTAGACAACAGAATCAATGCTCGTTCTTGCTTTCTTTGTAGATAGATAATTGGATAGTTCAGAAAATCACGAAATTGTATCCGATTAGAAACGTTCTTTGCAATTAATTGTATGTTGTCTTAAACTCTTCCTTCAAATTTGTTGTAAATACAATGAAAGTTTTACCCACCATATGTTTGTTTGTTAAATATACTGCTAAAGCATTGTGTGCACATTGAAATGGTAATATATTATACTTGTGAAATATTATGGTTTCATAGATTTTTGCAGCCTCATAACGCTAACAAGAATTTTCTGCCTATTGCTGTCTGTAAATTAGTAGGCTATATGTTGTTTTTTGTGCTTGAAGTCTATGGACGACTCAAAATACAAATTTAGTTTTGTTAGACGTATTTATAGAATCATTCAGCTATTTCCTACCAGTTTTCACATATTTTAAGCAATGTTCTAGTTGAAGTTGTGAATTCTTCTATTAACATTTTAAAACCCATAGAGCTTCACTATAAACAAACAGTGCTAATAGATTATTACGTGTATGGTTATTATCCAATAAATATTGTTCTTCCGATATTTTATGTAGCCTTTCATTGACTCTTGCCACTCAGTTTATTTGTTAAAATTATATTTTGATTATTAAAATTGTTGTCATGTTAGATTAAGGTTTATTATTATCTTGCGAAACTGTCCTTTTATAATCTTTTAACATACATTAATTTATAAAAATATGTAATATAGTAGTTTCTTCTGCACGTTTCCTTTTTTCAGTTACAGATTGTTTTTTAAGACTAGTAACAATGTCCTGACAACTTTTAATAGTTTAATTCATCTAATATAACCACTTTATAAATTTATCAATGAACATTGCATGAATTTAAGTAATTGATATGATTGATGTGAAGTGTGTTTGCACAGTTATGTTTCCGATCAGTAATTTACTACTCCAATCCTTAATCATTCTCAGATTGTTTGTTTGATGCTTAACAACAGTATTCAATATGAATTTTGTTAGCAAAACAGGGTTACCTTAATGAGAATGAGTCCACCCAGGCACAATAAACTCAAAAATGTTTCTTTTACTTTACTAGTGAAGTTTTTTTTTTTTTCATGTGTCAGAATAGAATCTTTCCCATACAGGTAAGCCTGTAATCCTGACAAAAATCTTTAAAACCTAGGCTTTTGAACATTAATTTACATCATAAGTATTCAATATGGAGTTCACGTTTACTTTCAATCTGGCCAATCATCTAGGTGAAAATAATACAATCTAATTAATTATTATAGATATGTTGCTTGTTCAACTTGGTATCAAACAGTATAGCCCAACTAACTGCTTATTTATTCTCTTTTGTATTAATAGGTTATGTTATTATTAAGGAAATTGACAGGTAAGCCTGCTTTCCTGGCAAATGCTCTATCTTTTTATCAGATAATAGGTTATGCTAGTTAGTTCCCCTACATTGTTACATATTGCACATTGTCTTTTCCTCGCACAACCGTGATACATTGTACATTGTACAGAAGTCGTAGTGATACGTGATGTAGGCTGTGTTTAGTAGTGTGTAATGTAGTTTGTGCATGCAGGCCTCAAGAAAGTGACGCCAGATATGCAGACACATAAGAACCCCGGGTTGAGGACGGGTCCGGCCCCGTTCAAAGCTGCAACTGCCCCCACAGCCCAGGTTCCCAGCCCCGCCAAGGTTCTCGCCTCCAACAAACCTCCAGTCTTTGCGAAGGACGGCAAGAAATGGCTTGTTGTAAGTATTCATATATTATTAATTTTTCATGCAATTTTCTGGAAGTAAATGGTCTAAATCCTGGTCTAGTTACTGTTTATAGAGTTGACCATTTGTCTTATTAGTTTTTGTAATACCACTTAAGGATGTAATACCATAAAATACCACAGAAAACCAGCAGACTGAACTTTTTTCCATTTGCGTGATTGGATTTTCACTCAAACATTACCTTGAAACTGTCAAGATTTTTTTTTCGTATTTAAATAACATTAGGTTTAATGAGTGTTTAGGTTTGCTGCTGCAGAGAAGATGATAAATTGCGCTTTTTAGTGTGTAGCGATTGCTACCAATTTGTAGTGATTGGTGGGAATTTGTGAAGGAGAGGTTTTACCCTGAGGTTGATCGTGCCCATTGCCGTAAACACCCTAAGCCAGCTTTTGATGAGCTGTGATTTACTAATTTATAACATGAAAACGTTATAACTAAACCACTACCTGAAAATATAAGAATTGCGTTGACATGAATAACTAATAGTTAACCAACTGTGGAATATGAAACTTGATTGAAGTAATGTAATTTGGGGATAAATTACTCAGATTGACAGCAGAGAATAACTGAACAATTTAGAACCATGTGAATTTGTGACTTTGTTTCAACAAGGAGAAACCGACATATTAAATTGCAAAACTACATCCTAAAGCCCCTGGTTTCTCCCCAGCAACCCCTAACTAAAGATTTAAATTTAACTTTTTCATATTTCTGACTCGATTACCTAATAATTAAATTCTTAGTAGCAAGGGCCGTCCCTAGGGTTGGCGGCGCCCGGAGCAACGTGGTCGTGGCGCCCCCTCTCCCCCCCCCCCCCCCAGTAATAGTCGCATTCGCATATTTTTAATACTATGTTGATACAAATAGCATCGACGTGGCGCCCCCTCAGCCACGGACGGCCCTGTTAGTAGCTTATAACTTATCGAGGTTATTGAGAACTCCTAAAATCTTGCCGGTGTGCCACAGTAGGATAAAGAGTGAGGACGACAGTGAGTAGGTTAGGGCTTTTGTCATTTTGGTCTGCTGCGTTTGGAAGGTGCTACTGACAGTGATTTCAGCCAGTACGCTCTACTGGTGTGCCGAGTACATAATAACGGTGACGCGCACAGCACAAGTGAAATTTTAATATCTTAGTGTGAAATTTCCTGAAAGGGTAAGATGAAAGCTAAATAGGTATGTTTTCAATTCAAAATTCTATCAGCAGAAATTTTGCATTCTATTTTGCTTAACATTTTAAAATTTCTATTCAAAGAGATGTTTGTGCCGAGACCTACTAAAGTGACACGTATTGTTCAGGAGCACCAAAGAGGCAACAAGAACCTGGTTGTGGATGGTGCAGAGATGAACAATGTTGTCTACATGTACGGCTGCCTAGACTCCACTCTCACAGTCAAGGGGAAGATCAACTCCATCTTCCTCGACTCCTGCCGCAAGTCCGCCGTCGTGTTTGACTCTCTCGTGTCCTCCGTGGAGTTCGTAAACTGCCAGTCTGTCCAGATGCAGGTAAAATCATATTAAGATTGGCTAAATCACCAGTTAACAAAATTGTCAGATTAACTAAGTCATTATATTAGCAAAACACCAGCTGAGCAAAATCGCTAGGTTAACATACATATAATATAATAACATATAATATAACATCTTTTTTGTATAGGTATTTACCGTCTTGTGAGTAAAAGTATAAGCGTAAATATATGTTTTAAGTGTTATAAGACGTTTCTTTTATTTACTTTCCGTAAATTTAATAACACGTACGTACAATGCTGATCAAGAAGTTATTTAACATAGTCAGGTTAATGGTGTCACCGGATGAGCAAAATTACAATGTAAAAAAATCTGATGATTCACAAAATATTCAGAGGAATATCCTACTAATATTATAAATGAGAAAGTTTGGATGTATGGATGTATGTATGTTTGTGACAAGTAAACGTGAAAAATACTGGTCGGATTGGGCTGAAATTTGGCATGATGATAGCTCACATTCCCGATTAACATATAGGCATGTTCTTATTTCAAAAATTCTTTCGGGTTCCGCCCCAGTGGCTCTGCAGTTCCCTATGTTAACCTTATGAGTATTCATACTTAAAGGGAATTAAAGAATTTAGCCAGCTGTTTCAAATAAAAGAGTTGGTTCTATGATATGCAAAAGCATTAAATGTTGTAAGATTTACCAACTGGGTGCAGCACTTTTTTCATTTTATGAAAACAGCTAATTTGAACTAGGCAGCAACAAAAAACTGTGTTACGCAATGAGAACCGTAAAAGTGTAGTAAGGAAGCAGATCTTCTCAAACCGTGTCTTCTCACATTGCAAACGCAAAGATCAAGTATAACTGCAATAAGCATTTTATACTTATATGCCAACCCCGTACGAAGGATGGGTACTCTGCTAGTAGTGTCATAAAAAAGTAAGATTTTCCTAATATATTTGTTTTGTGGTGCCATGATCTACAATCCAGATGATATATAAAGCTGTAGGATTGAAATGGATGCACAACTACTCAATTATAATAATCACCAACTAGCAAAAGTTAGAAAATATTAAATACAAGTCTTGCCTAAATAACTTCAATTGGTTTTAGGACTTTTCTATAAGCAACGTCAGAACTTAACAATAACCTAATTGAATTTGAAAAAGTATGAATAACAAACTCACGTTCATGTTACCTAGGTGCTGGGTAAAGTCCCGACGATATCCATTGACAAGACGGACGGCTGTCAGATGTACCTGAGTCCCGACTCCCTCGATGTGGAAATTGTCAGCTCCAAGTCTTCGGAAATGAATGTTTTAGTGCCAAAAGGAAATGGAGATTTTGTAAGTAAAATTTTCCGTCCAGCTAAAACTTATGAATTTTTAGGGATAGATTAGAATAGAATAGAAACTTTTATTGTCATTAAACATAATACATGTAGACATATTACATAGACTGTCACATAGACAGTGTCACATTTAAAATATATGCTGATATCCAAGGTTTCTCTCAGTAAATGCGGTCTTGATTTTGAAAACTTATTTCCCACTAGTGAACAAAAGATTAATGACGTTTGGTTTAAGATACCAAGTGTTTCTTTGTTCAGTCAATATTTGACTTAGATTCTTTGATTAATTATTGTTACATTTTCAAATAATAACTAAATTAGTTCAGTTGAATCAAACTCATACTTTAATGTAAACAGAAAAACTAATACAAACAAAGCAAATACAAAATAACAGGTGATCATTAATTCATATACACATATGGTCTTAAGTCAGTACATCAGTTAAACACATCAATTCTCCCCTCTGAAATGTTTTGGTAAAGTTATTTCGCATTTGAGTAGTTGGTCAACATGACGCCTCCAGACAGTTCCATCGTCCATTTGTACTTTATACAGAAGGTTGCTTTCCCTTTCCAATATTCTTCCAAAACTCCACTTGTCTTTTGAGTTTGAATAATTTCTAGCTTGTACTCGGTCTCCCTCCTTAAAATATCTTGTTGCTTGCTTCACATGTTCAGTTTCTTGTTTACGTGTGGGATGTAAAAGAGCTATGTGTGTTCGAATCTTCCTGCCAAACATCAAGGAGTATGCATCACAGCCAGATGAATTTGAGGTTTGACGTAACTGCATAAGCATTCTGAAGAGTTTGAAGTCTAGTTTCCCTCCCTCGTCTTCCATTGCTCTTAGGGACTTCTTCACAGTCTGAACATAACGCTCAGCCTGCCCGTTTGACGAAGGGTGGTAAGGAGCAGTTGTTTTGTGTACCACCCCGTTTTCTGATAGGAACTGTTTGAAGTCGCTAGACGTAAATTGACTTCCATTGTCAGAAACCAAAATCATGGGAAGACCAAATGTAGCAAATAGTTTTCTAAGTTCTCTTGTGCAAAATTCTGTAGAAGTATTCTTAGTAGGTATTACCTCAATCCACTTAGTAAAGGCATCCACAATTATAAAGTACCACTGTCCTTGCATTGGACCAGCAAAGTCTATATGTAACCTTTCCCATGGTCCCTGTGGAGCAAGCCAGGGATGATTTTGTTCCTTTCTTGGTTCATTTTGTTTCAAACGGCATTGTTTGCACGATTTTGCCAATTGCTCTATATCTCGGTCAATATTCTTCCATGCACAATAGCTTCTGGCTAGGGATTTCATTTTCTCCATGCCTAAATGCCCTATATGAAGTTCATCAAGAACCTTCCTACGAAGGGATTGTGGTATTAGAACTCGACATCCTTTGAATATACATCCGTCTTGAAGTGTTAATTCATTGTCATGGTACCCAAAAGCTTCCACTGATTTACCTTCTTCAAGTGCATGTAGTATTGGTTGAAGGTCTTTGTCGTGGGCTGTTGACTTAGAAATTGTAGAACTACTAATTTGAAAAGAATCGAGCTGACTAAGTTCAAAAAGGTCACAGTTGTCCCTGCCTTTAGTTGAAGCATGCTCGGTTGGGAACCGAGATAAAAAATCTACGTTAGCATGATCCGATGTTCTTCTGTATTCAATTTTGTAGTCAAATCCAGATAGAAAATGTGCATAATTAAATAATCTAGTTGCAGATATTGATGGTAGTGTTTTTGTGGGGCTGAATATGGATACGAGTGGCTTGTGGTCAGTAATTAGAGTAAATTTCCGTCCATAACAGTACGGGAAAAACTTCTTAAGCCCCCAGTAGATGCCAGTGGCTTCCTTGTCAATTTGGCTGTAGTGCTGTTCACATTTTGTCAAACTGCGTGAGGCAAAACTTATCGGTCTCTCACTTCCATCACTGTAACGATGTGAAAGAATAGCACCAAGACCCACCGGAGAGGCATCCGTTGCTAGTACCAGAGGCAAATCAGGATTATAATGTTCAAGGACGCGATCACTTGCTAATTCTGATTTGACCTTTTGAAAACTATTCTCGCATTTTGGGGTCCAATCGTAGCGTGCGTCTTTCTTAAGTAGTTGGTTGAGTGGGTGTAGGATTGTAGCTAAATCTTTTATGAATTTGTTGTAGTAGTTTATTAATCCAAGAAATTTGCGAAGTTCTGTTACGTTTTCTGGTCTTTTGCTGTTTAAGATGGATGAGACTTTTTCCTTTGTTTTGTGAATACCTTGAGCATCAATTATATGTCCCAGATATTGCAGGCTAGTTTGAAAAAACTTACATTTTTCTCTGTTCAATTTTAAGTTTTTACTTTTTAATCTTTCTAGAACAACCTTTAATCTTTTCAAGAGTTCTTCAGATGTCTTACCTTGTATAATAATGTCATCAAAAAAGCATTGCACTCCGCAAATACCTTGTAAAGTTTTGTCCATGAACTGTTGCCAAAGTGAAGGAGCAACTTTGACACCAAACATCAAACGATTAACTTTGTACATACCTTTATGTGTACTCAATGTTTGCATGTGTGCGCTGTCCTCATCCATTTTCATGTGAAGATATGCGTTGGAAATATCTAGCGTGCAAAATACTTTTCCTCCATTCATTTGAGAGTGGATTTCTTCAATTCGTGGAATAGGGTGGTTCTCATCTGTTATTACTCTGTTCAGTGTTACTTTGTAATCGGCACAAATTCGTACTTGTCCGTTTGGCTTCACCACTGGTACAATGGGAGTTCCCCAGTCAGAATGGTCAATCTTTGTTATAATGTTACAGTCTTCAAGTCTTTTCAATTCATTTTCAACTTTACTTTTAAGGGAAAAGGGTATTTGTCTTGGTTTTACAAATATAGGTGTAGCATCGTCTATAAGTCTATAGTGTCCCATATACTCAGGTATCTCTCCAATTTTACCATCAAAAACTTCCTCAAACTCACTGAGGATGGTGTCAAGACTTTCAGGTTGTATTGCTTTCACATTTTTTATCTCAGCCCAATCTATTGTCACTTCTCTGAGCCATTCTCTACCAAATATAGCATCTACATTTTGGTCAATAAGGTAGAGTTTTCCAACAAATTTTTGCATCTTGTATGAGCATTGTACAAATGTCATACCCTTGGGTTTGATAGGTTCACCTGTGTATGTTCTAAGTTCGATGTTGGTTTTAAATACTTTTGTACGTACATTCAGTTTTTTAAAATCATCATAGGACATTGTACTAAGGGCTGCGCCTGTATCCAATTCCATTGGTACAGTTTTTCCTTCAATCGATATGTCAAGAATGAATTTACCTTTTTGTCTGTCACTTAGTACATTAATTTCATGTTCATACTCACTGCCTTTCTCTGAGTCATCTTGAGTCTGGTATTGCTCCAAATTTCTGTTAGTCTGGTTCTTTTTCTGTAAGCATACACTTGCTATGTGTCCAATTTTAGTACATTTTCTGCACTCAGCATCTATAAATTTACATTTGTTAGCACGATGAGAAGGTGAACCGCATCTGTAACATTTCCCTTTTAGATTGTCAAATTTTGTGTTGGGTCTCGTGCCAGTTTCTTGAAATGTTTGTCGATACAACATTTTCTTTGGCTTGTTCCTATCACTACTATTGGAATCCACCCTGTTCAAATCAACGTGTTCCATTGTTTTGCGACATACAGTTTTGCTCTCAGACTTAGCTAGTTCCATTGCCGATGCTTCGTTAACAATGTCTTTGTACGTGCGTTTCTCTCGTCCTTGAAGAAGTTTGGCTCGAATATCAATGTCATTCAAACCACGAATAAACTGAAGTTTAAGAAACATCTCTACAACCGACTTTCCACAATCACAATTAAAGTCACAGTTGCTAGTTAATTTCTGAAGTGCTATTGAGAATTCATTTATGGATTCATGTTCTTGTTGAGTACGTGAAATAAACTTGTGTTGTAAAGCCCATTGACTTGGCTGTGGTTCTACAAAATCCTTTAGTATCTGAACCAACTCACTGTAGTCTTTTGTAAGTGGGTTTTCAGGTGCACATAAATCATAAAGTTGTTGGTGTAACTGGGGTGTAAGAGCGTGTAGTAGCATGTAAACTTTAGCATTACCATCTGTACTTAGATTTTTAAGATGTAGGAATATTTCAAGTCTCTTTATGAAATTTGTAACCGTTTCATCTGGGTGAAAAGGTGTAAAATTTATACTACCCGACAATGAGGACCCGGGAATTGAACTATGTGTCGCCTCAGATGGATTGCTAATTGGGTGAAGTGGTGTAGACCTAGTGTTGGAACATTCATTCTTAATTAACTCTTGCAGTTTTGTTGTAAGATTTAAATACTTATCCTCAACATTACATCTACATTCTATTTCATGGTGCAAGTTTTCTTCATCGGTTAATGTATCAATTTGGTCCTGAATACTTTTGTAACGTTCCCACTGGTCAGCAATTGCTTTGAGTTTAACACTCACCTCTGTCACTGTAAGACTACCTTGAGACTGGAATCTTTCTGCCTTCTTCAACTGTCCTTTTACTACAGCTCGTGCTTTCTTTAGATTATTTAACTCTTGTCCGTCCATTCTTTGTTTTCCTCGTCGCCAATGTTACATTTTCAAATAATAACTAAATTAGTTCAGTTGAATCAAACTCATACTTTAATGTAAACTGTTGGAAATATCGTCTAAAATAACAAGGCGTCTTGTGGATCAAAAATTAAGTTAATTTAATAGTAAAACTGATAGAATGAAAAAACTTAGATTTGTGTATACATCTTACTTCATCAAAATATAACAAACAACTAAACTCTGTTGCCAAGGAAACATCATATGTTCTTTTCTAACATAACTATTATGGACATTATAATATGAATAAATTACATCTTTAACACACCCCCGTAATGTCCATAATACATTTTAGAAAAATAAGTTTTAGTTAAGAGGTCACCATCCCAATGAAAGTTTTCATTTTAACATGTTTCAATGATGATAAGCCCTTTGTTAAAATATCAGCGGTTTGTTCTTCTGTTGGAATGTATCTGACAGTGATCTGTTTCCCAGAGACCAACTGTCGAACATAATGGTATCTCGTCTCAATATGTTTAGAGCGATCGTGGAACATTGGATTGTTCATAAGTTTAATCACACTTTGATTGTCCACATGTAGTATAGGAATAGACTTTTCTTCAATTGCGCCAATCTCTTTCACAAGACGAAGGGATTTACAGGTCTCGCTAGTGGCAACATATTTTTCTTCCATTGAAGATTGGGAAACACACCGTTGAAGCTTACTCTTCCAAATAGTCTCATCAAGATTGCCATTCAAAAATGCTGTTTTAACATCAAACTGTTTGATAGCAAGACTGTACTGAACTGAATAGCCTAACATAGTTCGCATCGTCTTAAACCGAGCTACAGGATTTATTTCTTCATCCATAGCGGATTTCCAATCGACGACATGCTCAGATCTAATTGCTTCATCATAATTTTCCGGTACTTCGTTTGTAAGTATTGCAGAAGCTAAAAGCTCATTTTTATCTCTGTCACTGACACACATGACAGAATCATCTCTATATCTCATAGGTATTTTTATTCCATCACGTTTTCTCAGGTTATAAGTCTCATCTTGTAATACATCACCTTGAATAGCGTTATCATCACTAGGACACAACATGTCTTGCTCATCAGTATCATTGGTTCCTGGATACACAATATCTTGCTCTTCTTCATGGAATATATTGTCCTGATTACTGTCAACAAGCTGATTTCTGGTCTCATCATTTAGAATTGATTGCCTACTGTCAATGGGATCATGCTCGATATCATTGCTACTCTCTTCAATGTTAAAGTAGTGTTTATCATCGTTATTGTTTATTTTCTTCAAAATAAAACATGATTCTTTTGGTGGAATGACCTTAACAACCATATTATACAATTGATTAGCTGTATTAAACATAGCCAAAGCAATGATTGTTCCATTTTGAGAAAACACCCATGACTTACCATTGTTTTTCACTGTCTGGTGAATGCCTTTTTCACCTGCTTTCCTCACAGAGAATAAGTTACAAGCAACATCAGGACAGTACCAAACATCATCGAAATACCTGTAAGTCCACTGTTTACCATCAAAAACCATAACGTCTATTTTTCCTGACCCCAAGGCCTGAATATGAACACCTTGGCGAGCACTGTCCATCTTTTTAGGAGTATCAAATGGTTTGTAAGTGGCGAACCAGTCCCTGTGGTTTGTCACATGGTGAGAAGCACCACTGTCAACAATCCAGTTGTCACATTCACTGAAAAATGACTTATCAATTAGGCCTACCTCTAGATTTGATCGAGTCATCATTGCAGCATTTTGTATCTCACGGGTACATTCATTTGATTTATGTCCTTTTGTGTGACACTTAAAACAAATTACACCTGTTCGACAGTTTTTAGATAGATGACCATTTTTGCCACATGAAAAACATTTTATCGCTCCTAATTTTTGCAAGTCTCCCTTTTTGGCATTTTTGGCTCCCATATATTTTGGCTGTTTAGAACTTACTTTTATTTTGGAAACCATGGCTACTGCTACATCCATCTCGTCTCTGTCCTTTAGACGTAATTCAAAGTTGAGACATTTCTTCTGTAGAATGTCCCATGTCTTCACCTCCCTTGGTGAGTCGTGCCAAGTCACATATATGTGATCATATTCCTTTGGTAGAGTTTGAAGGAGTCGAGCACACAAATCGTCTTCATTAATAGGCTTACCGTATATTGTTAATTGGTTTTGGATTTCGTCAAACTTTTCCAGATGACCATTCATTCCAAGGGTAGGTTCCCAAGAAATGTTATGGAACTTATTTCTCAATATGTCAATATTTTCAGTTGACTTGACATCATAAATGTGGACAAGTTTCTCCCACATCTCTTTTCCTGTAGAGCAATTGCTTACTCTAAGTAGAGGATTCGTCTCAAGGGATAAAACAATATATTTTCTGGCTTTTGCATCATTTTTTGACCAATTTACCAATTTTTCGTCATAATTTGGTGTACCTGCTGTTGGTTTTCCGAATTCTCCACTAACAATTCCATAAACTCCTTCACATTCTAAGATTACCTTCATGACTATTTTCCATGTTGTGAAATTCTCAGTCCCTTTTAATTTTTCAATCTGTTTTTCATTACTCATCATTCACTATTCTATTAACTTCTTCTCAATTAATTTAACCACTCTGTTCTGCTACCATGTTGGAAATATCGTCTAAAATAACAAGGCGTCTTGTGGATCAAAAATTAAGTTAATTTAATAGTAAAACTGATAGAATGAAAAAACTTAGATTTGTGTATACATCTTACTTCATCAAAATATAACAAACAACTAAACTCTGTTGCCAAGGAAACATCATATGTTCTTTTCTAACATAACTATTATGGACATTATAATATGAATAAATTACATCTTTAACATAAACAGAAAAACTAATACAAACAAAGCAAATACAAAATAACAGGTGATCATTAATTCATATACACATATGGTCTTAAGTCAGTACATCAGTTAAACACATCAATTATTTTGTCAAGTTTGTAATGGTTTTTATTTTTGTTATCCAAAAAGGTCTTACCTAAATTGGAAAGAGTTCCTCCTTAGCTTGAGCAGAATACAAACTTTCACTTTGGACAAAAGTTATAATGTTTCACTCGACTAAAGGTATTTTCAACCTAGCAAAATATGGGGAGGCATGGTTGAAAATGCTGCAAGGGACAGTCACATGTTAATAGCCTGTTATTTTATTAGTCTATAGTGTGAAATTGTTGTAACAAAATTTTGTATTATTTATTTTAATAAGTAAACATTAATAATCTATGATTATGCAGTAGAGTCCAGCTAATCCAAAATCCAAACTGGACCAAGGAAGAAATAATAAAAACTAATTAACTAACTGTCTAGTCATATCGATTAAAACTTCAATCTAAGTCTCACTACAGTTCAGTTAAAGACACTGTACTATGTACTGTATATATGATTTCTTAAATTTTTTACCACTAGTAGCTTAAATACACCTCATAAAGTCAATATACAGAATTACATGGAAAACTCCACCTAATATATGCTGATCGGAACAGGCCTCTGTTTAAAATTAATTTAGATCAGCAGAAATCTACTGTATTTGTATTTTCAAACTACTACTCTCAATATATCCCAAAGTCCCTTAAGCTTTGTTTAGTATTTCAATCAATATATTTCATGTATTTCAAAGAGCTTAGGGAATTATTAGTGAATAAGGATTAAAAAATTGCCTCAAATTATAATATTATCTTTTTGCAGGCTGAATTTCCGATCCCAGAGCAGTTCAAGACGACGGTGGGCAAGTCTGGCCTCAACACTGTTGTTGTGGAAAGCAAAGGCTAATCATCTTTCTTTCAGTGTCAGGAGGCTGTGAACCTGCGTACTATTTATTTTTAGCTGCTTGTAATATTTTAAGCTAATATTATTTTGAGGTATGTATTCCTTTCTGCTTATGCGCTTTGGACACTTCCAGTTCTGATAGTTCTTTGGAGACAACGTTCAGAAAAGGAAAATTGAGTCAACTGACTGGAATATGTTTAAATGTGAACTAAAAGTAATTGCTGGCAAATAATTGTAATGAATATTTTTATTTATTAGTTTGACAGCCGCAACTTTCTGTTTGATGCGGTTAAACCATAGTTTTAAGTGAGAATAGGGCCAAAATTATATATATATAAAGGTTTTATTTATAAATCGTCTGTATTTGCCCATAAAGTGAGTCATGATGTATTTCAAGTTCTAGTTAGAATAGAAGTTGGGTAACTGAGTGGTTGTAGTGTCAGGTCACTGGTTCGATCTTGATAAAAGCTAGTAGCTCTTTGGTGGTTCGAAACAAGGCCAGCTATCAGTGATTGGGCTAAAGAAATGGTCCTGCCTAAGGAAACAGCTGATCTTAGTAGGTAACAAAAGCTACACAGATCATCCACTCCATTCTGCACTCATCCAGATCCTGCATTTGCATTCAGCTTAAAATGTGCACTTCAAAAAAATTAAAAAAAAACACCACATTACAGGTTTGGTCTTTAGCTTTGTACACTTCCACACACACACTCAGACTCAAACACAGGGAAGACATCACTTCGAAAACCACTTTTTTGGGGTTCAGGGGGACTCAAAATGGATATATCCACCAAAAACCTTAACTCTAATTTATTTACCAAATCAAAAGTTGTTTTTTTATTTATGGGGGGGGGGGGGATAAATAGATAGTCCAAATCTGTTATCTCCAACCAGCTTATTCTGTTTCTCCAAAGAACTATTCAATCTGTCTTACTTGTGGCTTTAAATCTCCATGATGAACGTAGTAAATATAATTTATTAAATTAATTACAGGGGTTTAAACAATCTATAATGCATTGAATTATTGAGCATACTTTGTGGGTAATATGCATTGTAAGAGTAAACTGTGCATTTTCACTTTTTCAGCTGAACAACTGTGTATAACATTTACCAAGACTGACCATGAAATGCTTTTGAGGAATTGTCAAATTGAGATTTACTACATTTTAATATTTACTCTATAGACAAGTGTCTAGGATAACTGTTCATATTTAATAAGTAATAGATTATTTAGGGGTTTTGATAAATTATTGAAGTGTTAAATACAAGTAGCAGTATTTTATTTTACTCAGGTCAAATCAATCAAATTTAGATGTGGCAAAATAGATGCAACGGTCAACAACAGAGCAATCTTTTATTGGCCAGAAATATAACAACAGTTTTATAAATTCATTTTTTTCATTGTGCAATTACTTTTGCATGTACAATTGTTTCTATAGAGCAGTGTTTGTAACACCTACTTCTCTCAACCAAAATCAATTGTTCAGGAATAAAAGGGTTCTTGTTCTTAATATTGAAAAGTTAGTTAAGAGGCTGTATAAAGTGCATTTTTAATCTAAGTAACTCAACTATATACACTGCCTTTCCTTACTGAAAATATTTCCAGGTCAAGTATCAGCACATTTAAATCACAAATACAATCAGTGTTACTAAAATTTGTTTTATAATTATTGATGAGAAAGGAAATGTACACAACTAACTCACCTGAATAAAGAGTCCCAGGAGGTCAATAGAACATATAGAAATTACACATAAAACTGATATTTCTGAAAACCGTAACTGCCATTCTACCATCTACCTCTGAAGAAGCCCCTGAAAGGGACAAAATATCAGTTTGATGTGTAATTTCTATGTGTTCTATTGACCTCCTGGGACTCTTTATTCAGGTGAGTTAGTTGTGTATCCTTCCTTTCTCCTCAATAATTATTCCAAAGCCAAGTTGCTTTCTTTTTTTAACTAAAATTTGTTTAAACATTTCTTTTAATTTGGACATATTGTAACCAATAAAGGTATTGACCTAAAACCCTGAAATAGTTTAAGGGGCGGTTTGGGAGCTCGGTATTAGCGCTAGTCCGCGACTAAATCCGGATATTTCCGGTATTTTAGGCTGCCGCCTCGAAAACGGGTTTGTGAGCTCGGGATCAGTAAGGCGCGCGCCTAACTTGTGCAGGGATAATCTCGCGCCTAAATATTGTTGGTTTGGGAGTCAAGTAGACCTAGGCGCCAGCCTAAGAGATAGTCTCGGTGGGTTTGGGAGACCACTTTCGGGACTAAGAGATATGTTTTCGTCATAAAAATCAGTGAGTTTAGTCCCCAACTTTAGTCCTGCCAGGGGGCAGGTCTAAGTCGACATCATGCCGGTATTAGCTCATTAGCAAGTTAATTGTTTACATATTAACTAAAAGAATGTTATATTGGAATTCGTTATTAAATTCCGAACATTTTCATTACTCTCAAAGTAAATTTGATAAAACTTTTTTTTTAGTTTTCTGTTGTTCAAAATAAAACGAAAATCTTGCAGAAAGCTAAATTTAACGAAAGATTATTTGGTTTTTGTTTTTACTGTTAACTGCAATACAAATATGGACCCTAAATAGAATTTCTTTCAACTGAGAGTTTGGCTATAAGCACCCGTACCTTAATTATAAATATTTTATTAGTAAGGAAATAATTAGCAACCACATGCATACCCCCCACTCACCCCCTACGAAAGAGTGAAGAGATAGTAAACAAAACATAAAAAACTGCAAATAGCTCACAGTCATAATCGTTATCTTTTAATTGCGTTGTGATAGAGCTCAGTCCAGTGTCATTGACCAAGTGCTAGTTACAATCAAAATGGAGTACCTAGATTATTTGGAGTATGAGAAAATATATACAGTATATCAATAACCCGCCACAGAAAACCTGCAGACTAAGCGAATTTCCAAATAACCTAATAGAGCTTTCAATTAAATTTATTTAAATAACTTTAGGTTTGACAAGCACCTAAACAAGCACCATACGGTGTAGGTATGCTGCTACAGGGAGGGTAATAAAGTGTGTTTTTTTTAACAAAATATTAACAGGATTATAAAAAATAAATAAATTTGCCAAGTTTTATAAAAATATATCAATAAACGACCACACTAGAACAGTTAACTTATTCTCCATAAGAATCACATGGGAATTTAAAATTTATAATTTTACCAATAGTCTCTGTAGCCAATAGCCGTACAAAACATTTTAAGATATTAATTTGTTTTTTATACTCTTTAAAGCACACTTTACTCTTTACTCTTGAAATTACTCTTTAAAATATTTTAAAGACAAATATTTATGTTATAGGGGTTAAAATTGAGAAAAAACTATTTTTATCCTATACAACTCCGGGTTCCCATGGTCTGATCATGCTGGTTCGCGAACTCGTTAAGGAGAATCGAGCCTAACACTTTTATGCCAAATTTGATCAAAATCAGACAAAAATTACTCAAGTTTTATGGACGTATATATAATACATTTATATATATGCTATACATATGTAAAATTTTGAACGAACAGTGTTTTTGGCCTCTAGGGACATAAAAATGGAAAATTGTATCGGTCCCAGAACCAAGTGCTACCTACGGTAAAAGATACTTCTCTAGGAAAATTAGATAAAAGAGTGTCTCATGTAAAAAAAGATTTTAAATTGACCACAATCTTTTCTAAGTACTGTATTAAAAGATTTTTTTTATTTTTACCTTGGCTTCACACAATCATAACCTCCGCAATTACTTTTTATTATTTTTTTTTTCAATACCCCTATATTATACTGGGAAATTAATGTTTCATTTTGAAGCTTTTTATTGCATGAAACCGAGTTTCCGATGTTAATCCTATGTTGTTCTGTACATATTTATAATTTGTAGTAATTAAAATACAACTAGTAGTACTTAAGGACAACTGATTAAATAATTATAAATCGTAAAGTCAAAATAAAGGTAGATCTTAAAAGAATAATTAATTAAAGAATATAAACAATTACGGTTCTTCAGTCATTGGGATGTAAAACAACGATCTTACAAAACTACATTTTTGCAATGGTACAATGCAGAAACATACACCATAGTCTACTAATTAGCCACCATTCATATACCAAGATAAAATTGTATCCATCTTCAATAAGTGTTCATCTTTTGTTGTTGTCAACGGTAATGGGTTCTGTAATGGCCGTTGCCAACGTCAAAACCTGAATTCCCCGCGATTCCCTGTCCATCTAGCTGCGCTGCAACTTAGGCGCGACTATACTTGATCTACGACCATTTCAACTTAGGCGCGAGCTCCCAAGCCTGGTTTCTGGTCCGGGGACTAAAGTTAGGCGCGTCCAACACTAGGCGCGTACTAGCTGGGCTCGAGCTCCCAAACCGCCCCTAAGAGTTTTCTATTTATTGAAGTGGATTGCCATGTGTTATTTTGCAATACCCGATTGTGTGACTATTTGATAATTATTGTTAACTTTATGGAACATGAGTAGTATTGCAGTTTTATTTTTTTACTTACCATATTTTACATGTTGTATTGTACAGTAAGTAGTGCCAGCACATGGGCTCAATTACCCAGTTTTTACTGGTCTTTTGTGCTGTTCTTGTCTTTTCTGCGTGTTTCGACATTTTAATATAATTAATATATTATTGTGAACAAATAAATAACGGTGTATGTTTTCATTCATAAATATCATATTTAATTATTGATAAATAGTAAGTATTGTACATGTATTACAGTTTTAAAGAAACTAATTAAATTATATAACTTGGTTATTTATTTTCCTTCTGCTTTTAGTCGATGAAACAATTTTTGTGGTCAAGTAGTTTATTTAGGGTAAAAATGCTAGGAACCATCCTGATGCATGATTAGTGATGAAGGCTTGAAGCCCCAAAGTGCAGTAGCCTATATCAGCCATTATAACCAAACCTTTACTTATTATTCAACTATTAATGCAAGCGCAAGCATAACTCAACAGCTAAAAGCTGTAAATTACATGTGCTGCAACCTGAGTGGTAAGCTAATTAGCAAGGGTGTTTTGTTTTACTAGTAGTCTGCTATTTGTGTGATGAGCTGTTAGGCTGAAGCCCGGTCAGGAAAACACCATAGATTTACAGTTCAAATACTGTCACCTTCTGATTGATGATGGGGCGTCAAGTTTTGAAAATGTTTGATGGGCCTAAATATGATTTAGGTAAAGGATATGAATTAAGCAATAATTGTTTGCCCTGATTCAACTCCTTATGACAGTGAAGCATCAAATAAAAATAATTTATTTCACACAACACTGATGTTGAATATGTTTACAGAAACAATCACAATTTGAAAGAGTATTTTTCTGTTTAAGCAACAATGTACCTATGGTTTGTATTCATTGGGACCTACTCTCCTTAAAGCCTGAAACACAGGAATGAGGAATGTTGGCTTACATAAAAATGTCTGTAGTACCTGGTTCTGTGTAACAGTGTGTATTAGCCATTTTTAAAACTAGGATTGCTTTCAGAGCAATGAAAGCCAGTTAAGCAGAGCGATTTTTTCATGGTTTTTTTTAATAAAGCAACAATTTATAACAACATTTATAGATGGAATAGATCTATTTTAACAATTTAAATTGTCAGTTTGCCTCAGAACAATTAACAACTATAACAAGTTTCATAAGTAAAGATGTGAACTGGACATTCAGTGACGGTCCCAGGATTTCATTTCGGGGTGGATGACCACGGGGGGGGTCAGGGGGTATATGGAATAAAAAAAGGGAGGTCTGGGAGTCCCCCCCCCCACCCCCCCCGGAAAAATGTGGAATTTAAAGCCTAAAAACTATTTGAGCTCTAAAATATGCTCAAGCTAATACTA